TCAAATATGAATTGCTCTCTTCTGAATTTTCGCCAACTCGCTCAACAGAATGTCGAGAATTTTTGGGAATCAAATTGCAAGTCTCAAGTTTCAGCCTTAGTTTAACTTCTAAATTTGATATCTTTATCGGACGTGTTATATGTATCATTATTCGGCATGTTACTACAGGTTTGGGCAGCGGGCAGTCCCTTTGAAGATGCGTCCAAAATTATTGCAATCTGAAGCATTTTGGTTCACCTTTTTCATTATGTGTGACACCGTAGAGTTTTTTCTTTTCGTTGATTGTAGCAACTGGACCATCTTTAAAGGAGTTTCGTTTTGTCGTAAGACCCTTCTTTACGCGGTTGTTTATTGTTGAAAGTTGACCTTCAAGGTATCATAATCATCTAGTTTTTCAACTAAATCAATTGGTGAAATCAACTCAGAACCATATGTCAATAAAATTATCTTTTACTTCTGGAGACAGTTTACGCTTTATCTGATCCGCTACAATAAGGTCGATAATGTTTCTCAAAAGTATCTACTTTAATTCCGCTTATCCATTCATTAAAGAAATTTCTTAACTCATACGCAAAATTCTTCCATGTGTTTCCTACACTCTTATTGTGCATAAAAAATTTTTGGAGAAATTTTTCAGGTGTCATCTTGTACCGTTTTAATAAGATCCTTTTAACTTCTTTATAATCGTTTGCAATTTCATCGGTTTCTCTGGCGATTAACTGAGCAATATCATACAGCAATAAGCCAAACAAATGAGTAACCCATGTATTTTATGGTATTTCAACTTGTTTAGCCAAACGTTCAAACATGATTAAATATAAACTGATATCATTCTCGTCAGGGTTAAATTTTTGCATCAAACGATGAAGCTCTAACTTTGGATTCATGTGCGTACCACTAGCATTTTCATTGGTGCCAGAATTTGTAGATCTACTTTCTGCTTCAATACGTAGTTTTTGCAGTTCAAATTCCATTTCATACTTTTCGTTTTCGTTCCTCATATTCTTCTTTTCATCTACGTTCTTCAATTTCTTCTTGACGTTTTCGTTCTTCAATTTCTTCTTGACGTTTTCGTTCTTCAATTTCTTCTTTTTCCTTTCTTTCATTTATTATAATGTTTAACCATTCTTTGGCGCATTCTTCATCGTACTCTTTGCTAGCCAAAATTATCTTTTTCAAATCGCTCATTTTATGACTCTCATTTACATCTTCTCCCAATTCTTCAGCTAATATTCTTAAATCACATTTCTTTGCCTTACCGAAAATAGACATTTTCGTACTCATTAAAATGCAAATTATATATATATGCTATTATTATTAACTTCCAATTAGACAACTTAGTAGAACACAATTACTGGTATTTTATAAGTTTGTATGACGTTCTAAATGTATTTAAAAATTTAAAGAAATGAAATGAAAATAAAATAACTCTCTTTCCAAAATGATAAAAAAAAATAACAAAATTAAATTCTATACTGATTATGTTACATCAATTAATGCACATACCTTGAAATTCAAATTCTTTTCAATTTATTTACGTAATAGCAAATTCTTGTAGCTTTAGGCTTAGGTTTCAGAATAATCCCGCTTCTGATTTATGTTAGCTTCCTTTTGCAGTTAAATTAATCATTCATAAATTGGTTGTAAGAGACAAACAAACATTTATTTAAAGATAAATCTTAATAACTTACACGTAACGTATTCGTAAACGTACATAACATAACAGTCGTACTTACTGCTTCGTACCATTAAACATTTGAAGCGTACATCATCTGCAAGTATATTTTTAAAATTATAAATAGAACGACATCCTGAAATTAGCTGTTGCCATTTTCTCACTACATATTTTGTCTAATAACATTTAAATAATTTACAATCGTTCTTACACATTCTACCTGTTAAGTATTTATTTATTTTAATAGAAGTTAGCTCGTAGCTTTACGTAAATATAAACGACAGTTTATCAATATAATTTATGAGTGGCAACAATGTTTAGTTAATTGTTTCAGTTTATTGTTTTTATATAAAGAATATTCTTTAAAGTTATGTATTAGAATGCTGGATTCTCTCGACTTGTCTGGAAAACATATGATGTAAATAAAAACACATTTAGTTTGGGAATATTTGATGTGTAATGGTTCACACTGATGTGCAATGGTTCAGATACTAACTGTATAAGCCTTTGTTGATCCTGGTGTTCAAGTGACTTTTCGGATTACATCTTGCAGTGCGAATCTTTTCATCTAACGACGATGAACCAATATTACAAAACTACAGAAATACGGCAAGACCAAGAACATTGTGTATGACGAAAAAAAATATGATCCCCAGCATGTATGGTAAAAGATTGCAGTATCCATCTGCACAGGAGTTCCAATAATTCAATGCCTTTAGAGATATATATAATTTCAAGATCTGCCTGAGACAAAAAAAAGCAAATATGAAAAATCTATTAAAATAAAATACTTTCTGGAAATTTTTTCAACATTTAAAAATTTGAATAATTTCAGTATGTTTGTCAGTTTTATGTAATATGAGTATAGAATCGGGGGATTCCTTTTCGGTTTTCATTAATCATTCTTTTATTTCTCTTGCGATACTTAGTAATATTAAATAATTCATGCTTCTTGTGATTTAATGTAAAATATTTCATTTTATTTATTAGTGTTAAAATAAAGTTAATAGTTTTTATTTATCTTTAAAATTATTATTGTATGTGACGGGGTTAAATTTTGATTCTTACGTTTGATCAGTCCTTTCTTGATGTACCAATACTTCTTTAGATGATGATCTTATGAATTAAAGTGGTATTTCTTAAAATTCTTTTCCCTGTGTAAAGCGGTCAAGTTTCTCACAAATAAACTCTCACAAGATCGCTGGACTAACTACCTCAGATCTCTTTCTGCAGAGGATAACTCCTTATGGAAAGCAGTGAAGAGGTACAAAAAATGCTATAACGCCATTCCGCCCCTTCACGGCCCTCAACGGATCCATTACACCGGAACTGAGAAAGCAGAACTTTTAGCTCAGCATCTGGAATCTCAGTTCTGCATTAACAACATTTCAGACTCAGACACTGAACAGCTTATTGCTGACTTCCACTCCAATTTTACAACACAGCCATGCACAGACAACATTATCTCAGCCATGCCATCGGAGGTCTGTCTCTATATCATGCGAATTGCGAAAAGGAAGAGCCCTGGAGTAGACGGTGTCACAAATGAGATGATCAAGCACTTCCCTGTCAAGATAATACTCTACTTCACCAACTTCACCAAGTTAGTGAATATCATACTACGATGGCAATACTTCCCAACTTGTTGGAAACTGCCAAGATTGTCCCTCTGCTAAAGCCCAACAAGCCTGCGACTGCTCCTGAGAGTTACCGACCAATCAGTTTGCTAAGCTCAATTAGCAAAATCGTGGAAGCAGTTATTCTACATAGACTAAACATCTTCCTGGATGAGCAGAAGATCCTCATACCCTATCAGTTTGGGTTCAGGCGTAAGCACTCGACAACGCATCAACTCTACAGAGTTGTTGAGTTAATAAGCAGTGGGATGCAACAACATCGTGTCACTGGTGGACTTTTCTTAGATGTCGCCAAAGCCTTCGATAGAGTATGGCTGGATGCCCTCATATACAAATTACACAAGCTGGGACTCCCAGGCTACATCACAAACATAATTAAATCCTACCTAACCGGTAGACACTTTGTCGTTCATGTTTCTGGTTCATTATCCACAAACCGGCCCATACGGGCTGGTGTTCCACAGGGATCCCTTCTGGGCCCTACCCTATTCAATATTTTACGTGAACGACATCCCCACTACACACAACACAACACTAGCCATGTATGCAGACGACACAGCGATCCTTACGCAAAGTGCATTTGTTAGTTCAGCAATACAACAGCTACAACACCACATCCACTCGCTAGAGACTTGGCTGACCAAATGGAAAGTCAAAGTGAATGTCGACAAGACACATGCCATACTGTTTACTACTAAGAAGAATTTCCCGGCTCACTGCAAATGTATGGTGTGGACATTCCCTGGGTCAAGCAGGTCCCTTATCTTGGGGTGATCCTCAGTAAATCTCTTACATGGAACCCACACGTTACACATATTCTCAGGAAGTTTCGAGCTAGTAAAGCTTCACTCTTCCCCTTAATTGCTCGAAACAGTGTTCTATCTATTGATAATAAGTTGCTCATTTACAAAACCATGTTGCGTCCAATTCTTAGTTATGCATGCCCCGTCTGGGCATACTCGTGCAAAAGTTTGAGAAGGCAGTTACAAGCTGCCCAAAACGGGGTATTGCGTATGATATGTAATGCCCCCTGGTACATTCGGAATAGCCAAATTCGTAAAGAGTTAAGAATAGAGGATCTTTGTGATTTTTTATTGCCGCCTATCTAGGGAATTTATGATAAACAGGAACTTCTGGACAATCCTGTGGTTGTTAACTATTGTTATGATACTAGGGACCCCAATTTCAGTAAAGCGCCCAAGGGCGATCCTAAATGTTAGTAATGTAAGTAATTTTGTATTATGTGTTATGCAACATTGTTGCTCAAATTCTTTATTGTATATTGTTCTTTTTTTTTTTTTTTTTTTTTTTTTTTTTTTTTTTTTACTAGTGGCACTAAGGCGTCGCACTTCGTATTTGTTTCTCTTGTGTGTACATGTATTCTTCTGTGAAATAGTTGTTAAAAAATAGTTAATTATGTATGGATTAGTAATTAGGTACTAAGGAAAAAATATGTATTTAACTATTAGCAATTATGAATTTAAACTCTTGCTCATTTAATTATTTAGCACATTCAGTTACATTTCTCATAATTCGAAACTTTTATCATGTTATTCGATGAGGGGTAGGGCTATGGCGCCCAGGCACCCTGGTGGTTAAGCACCGCAGTTCAACTTCTTCTTCTTTTCCCTGTTGCTGAAAACCGCAGTAATACTATAAGTCGAATTCCAGATTTTTTAATCTTGAAGCGTCAAGAAAGCTACCTTGACGCCGTTTGAGGCTAAACGTTCGTGCTATTGAAGGGAGGTACTTGATTATGACGTTTTCATGACGTAAGAGGGCACGCAAAATCGCAAGAGTGTCGCATATTCCAGTCGGTAGTTAATCGTTAGGAAGGGATCTGAAGAAGTTACGAGCAATCGTTGATACAGAAAGTCTTGTGTGCAGACTCTTAAAATGGCTGCTGATAATGGACAGAGAACAACAGAAGTTGTTCGGGGACAAGTATTTGAAGTTGGACCACGATACAGCTCATTATCGTATATCGGGGAAGGTGCATATGGAATGGTAGTGTAAGTAAATACAGGCTGCCCGTACTTCTTGTCATGTTGGCTTATTCTCGCTGCCAGAGGTTTCAGACTGTACCTGTTGAATTGTAAAAAATATGCATAATTTTAATATTTTTTGTTCTTTTTATGTTGCTTAAATTACAGCGCATAATGAAGTTGTGCAAATGCTTTAACATGCACTTTGCACGAACTAATTTTTGCATTAATCGGCTTCTTATACTCATCTGTCATTTGTTTCGCATACAACAAATTGAATTTCCATTCACTATTGCTTGCAGTAAGCGAAATTTAACTTGGAATTGCATATATCCTTTTGCATCCTGCAGTTAACGTATGCTTTTGGTTATGCAAATGCATTAAATAATTCGATGCACTAAACTTTCGCAGAATGCGTTGTAGCTATTTTTATGGCTTTAATTTTTGCAAACTTGTATAGACGTGTGGTGGAAATGTTAATTTTGTATATATTGAAACTGGGAATTTCAGTTCTTTTTTTGTTGTATGATTAGTGTGCATATTTCAGTGCATACATGAGTTGTGCTCTTCTGATGCTATTTCCTGTTGCTCATTTCATTCTTTAAATTTTATTACCAGACATTTTGCAGTAGATTTCGTATGGTAGTCAGTCAGCATTTCTTATCTTTCTTTACCTGGGTCATATCAATCAAGTAAACTTTAAATCTTAAATCAATTTGTTCTCCATTTCAGCCCATCTGTTGTATTTAGTTTATGGCATTCATTTTATCCTATGTATCTACTTTAGAAGTTGAGTTCTTAAATTCTAAAATGCTTATATTATCATGAAACTGTTTCTTAAAAAGAAATTTTGTTTATAAAAAGTAAAATGTATTGTTTGGAAGAGGTAAGTTACCTTAATCGTGTAATTGATATTTTTGTTTAATTTAAAAAAGAAAAAAGTGTTTGATTTGTATTATAAAGAGCACTTGAAGCATGAATCATTTTTAGGTTAAAATTGTTTGAATTTGCTAAATAAAGTTATTTATTGTATTTTACTAATATATATATTTTTTTCTGTCATAAGTAGTGTTTGCTTTTAGCTTTGACTATAGGTTTGATTAAATACCTGTTGTGTACCCAGAATCATGAAAAGCTGTTTCATACAAGTCCAGTGTTTTGTTAATAAGCTCAGTTTCTATTTTTAATTTGGGCATTCAGGATTTTAAATTAGCAGTTGCAGGTTGTGAAGTTTGATCTCTATTTGTTGTTCATTTTAATTTAAAAAGTAAACACCTTCCAAGAAAAGCTGCGAGTCTTTTATTAAAATAAATGGCAAATAAATGTACTGCATTTATCATAATTTTTATTTAATTATAAGATTGATGTTCTGGAAAGTTTATTCTTTGTAAAGAAAGTTTAAGAATTTGTTATAGTATGAAGTCGGTGTTTTCCTATACTATATTTATAATGGAATTACCACTTACTTCCAGGGAGAGAGAATTATACACCAAATCATTTTTTCAGCGAAACCATAAAAGAGCTTCTGTAAGTTTCGTATGTGGTTTCTGTAATCACTATTCATGTAAATAGACTGCTGAGTTTTCCAATTGACATGTCAGGTTTTATGGGAAAACATTGATCAGATAAAGATTAACCTTATCAGCATGTGTGTATCATCTCTTTCAATTACTTTGTCAATAGAGCATCAAGGAAATATTCTGCGATTCATGATGTATGCACACATAACCATGCATTTATATTTACAGGCTATTTAGACTATGCTATTGAACTGCAGCATATAGCATAGTCTTTAAAGAATAAATTATTCATATTCGTATTTTCTTTGCAATATTGCTAATATGTTTTCAAATAAGCAAAGAAGGTTGTAACCTTTTGCTTTTCATTATATTTTGTGGTACTTTTTGATTGCAGTTTTAATGATTTGTAGCTAGCTCTTTTTGAAGCTCTTATTTTATGCTTATTTCTACTTTTTTAAAACTATGTCATGTAATAATTTATTTTATGGTTATTTCTTTACTATAAAATATAGTTTTATGCAGTATAAAGATCCGGAATGGCGATTCCGGATTTAAGATATTTTCGGATTTTAGATCATGAGTTTAAATCTGGGAAGATGCCATGCAGCCCTGACAACACTAAAGCTTCACTCATGTGTTTAGGTCATATAGAAAAATACTAAACTCCTCTTACAATGACATGAGGACAGAAAGTGTGATCCTGGGCAATATCAGTCTGGCATATATATCCTGGGCAGTCATTGGCCTCTGAACCGCTACCTAGTCAGCTGGTACTTGAAAATGACATTCAGGAATCTTGGTTAAAAAACTGGCATTCATGGCACACTTGATTTAGTTAAGTATTATGTTTTCCATTTCTAAATTAATAAGGGAAGTTATTTTATGTATTTTTTGGCTGGTGGTTTCTGTCTGTGTATTATATCAGTAAATAATTTGTCATCAATTTCATTTTCTAATTAATGGGACTTTGATTATGTCACTCGGTTGCCGGTGCTTATTCTAATATCAACCCCTCTTGATCATGATTGACCTTTAAATTTTATGGACCATCAGTGAGTCAATACTGATTCTGTTGGGAATTCCTGACTTAGAAGGTGTTAACAAGTTTTTGCTCTGGAGCCTAGTAAGCAACAGATTTTTTTTTTTTTTTTTATATAATTAGAGATCTTTCTAGTATACCTCAGACAGACCATTCAGAATTGTTTAATACATTGTAGCTTGCTAATCTTTTTTGACACACCATTTCAGTGAAAGCTTACCATTTAATTCAGCAACAAGGTAGATGCATTTTTACCATGGCATTATCATACAAATTGTTTCATTCTAACAATCTGGTTGCGTTTTTACCAGCTAGAAGCTGTTTCTTCAATTTTACTTTCTGTAAAAGTGGAATTTCTAGCTCGACACCTGATACAAGTTTTTGATCTTTGCCTATAAGATTTTTTTTTTGGCTTTTGCTTATGACTTAGCTGCCAGTTCGCTTCCAGTTTTTCAACCCATCCACTAATGTCATAGTAGATCACAGAACTCCTGGTTTTTAACTTTTAGCCTTTATTTAAAAAAAGCATTGTGCAACAATAAAATTTATTGTATTAATGAAACATAGGTTTAACACTTAGCACAACAACCACTTGTATGTTTTCAAACTTTAGCTACCATACACCTTAAATTTTTACAAGCAGTGTTACCTTTTTTGTATGTGTTCTCTTTGTTCTATTTCAAATTCCTATGTTTTTATTAATAGCTAAATTGTTAATTTTTTTTTAAATCTTAATTCCAATTCTAAATTATACACTTGTGATATTCACTCTGCAGTGAAAGAAACTGTGATAAATTTCTTCCGGAATGTAGCTGCCACAAAATTGTTTTAAGGAACAATTGTTTTAATTCTATTTATTCTATAGCCAAGGAATTTCCAATAAATACAGGTTTGGGGAACCAAACTGGCCAATTTACTGGTTATAAAATGCGTATGTTAATTCAGATGTATTTGGACTGGGACTGCTTCTGGTCATTGTGTGTATCTGTCTAATATGGTTGAATAATGTTAATTTCCTTGGGGAGGTGGGAGAGGACCGACAAGGTTTGTAGAATGGGTAATTCTGACATGGGATGCAGTTTCTAGATCAGTTGGTACAATCTTTACAGATAGAGGGCCAAACAAATTGAGATCAAATTAATTTTTATGTGCCATGAATACCAAGACATGATAAATTATGCAAATATGTGAAGAAGCCCAGAGGTATAGGGTTGAGCAGTATCTATTGATAAGTAAGTCATAATAAATGAGTGTTTCTCTATCTGAGGTAAAAGTATACTTTTGGGTACCCCTTGGCAAAATTTGATGTTTTTTTTTTTTTTTTTTTTTTTTTTTTTTTGGCAGTGCATGGCTACCGAATTTGTGCAAGTCTTTGACTTGTTATTTTGGCTACACAAAGCCAAAGAACAAGACAAAGAATTGCACAAACTCAGTACTCGTGTACACATCAACCTATTTTCACTTAAAAAAAAATCCCAGATTTGCACAAAAATGGCATTGTGCACTCTCTTGACTTTGTCCATCTACACATTGACCTATTTTCACTTGAAAAAAATCAGAGAATTGCACAAATTAGGCTTTGCGCACACCCTTGAGTTTGTCCATGTACACTGATGTATTTTCACTTGAAAAGTCAAAGGAGCACCCAATTCTACAGAAGAGGCAAATAAAAAATACGTAATATCAATAAACTACATTTTAAACCAAACAATAAAATAACATAAAAAAGGATTATGCATTTAAGCATTACACAAAGCAAATTTCCACTTACATCTGTGGCACATTAAATTCTTTAACAGCGTCCCAAAACTTTCTAGAATTATCTGAACTAGAATCCGTATATCGGCGTCGGCACATAAATTCGCAAAAGTAAGAGTAAAAAAAAATCCTACATATTCCGGACTGTCCTGAAAATGGCTACTAAGTAAACCTTCATTTGCACACCAGTTAATTAATGAACTTTTCTCCTTTTGCTCTAAACGTACAGAAACTTCAAATTAATTTTACTACATTCAACCATTCTATCGTCTAAACAATGAAACAAGCAATGTATTTCCTAAACACAAACACCACAAAAGACTTTACTAAACATCCCATAATTCAAAATTTCTCGGAATAATGCAAACGATTATATCATAATAGGGTTTCCATAACATTTAACTACTCAGGTTACCATAAATGAAATTACAACTTGGCAGTAAACGAAACAACAACTTAGCGATAAATGAAACAACAACTTAGCGATAAATGAAACAACAACAGGGTGTACCCTAAAGTCAACTCTAACCCTATCTGGTACTGTGAATTGGTTTGTTGAACTTGGCAGTTTCATTCTAACGTCTGGAGTCATCATACATGCCATAATATAGTAATAAATACTGTCAATAATCCTTTGGTAGGTTTTCTAGAATTTTGGAAAAAAATGTTTTGTGGATATACTATGTAGTTTGTGCATTATATCATACATGGAGGTGTCTGTATTAGGTAACTGCACTCTGCATGTTTCTAATTTTCTGTTATGAAAAATTTAATACATTTGTCTTTGTGTAAAATCTGTTATTTGATATAGTAATGATAATTCTTAGTTAAACAATTAGTTGAGATTTATGAAACACAGACTACAGGGGTGCTGTAAACTAGTTCATTCATTTTCTTCACTGTATATTCAAAATTATTGCAATATGTGAAAATAGCCTAAAACTTGCCAGTTGTTCTGCGCACTCTTCAAATGTTCTGTATGTGTGCCCCGACTCGTATGACACATACCCAGGCAGTAAGTTGAACTCTTTCAAACACATTTTATAGCGTCATCCTGTCAATGGTAATCATTGCAGCATTGACCCATTCCCTGATCTCTTCTAATGTTTCTGGTAGTGGGAGTACAAAAACAAGGTCCTTAATGCACTATCAAAGGAAGAAGTCTGTAGGTATTAAATCAGGTGGCCTGGGGGGGCAAGGGAAGAAATTGAGGATATCCTCACCAACATGGCCAATCCAGCAATGCAAAAGCCAACAATATATATAAATGCTATTAAGTCGGTTGAATTTTGGTTAACAGACTTAAATGTTCCTATGAGGGGTGCCCTCATCCTGTTGGATGACACAATCCCTGGAATCAGCTGCAAGTTGCTGAAATAACTACAACTACAGCTTATCTTATCCAGGTAACTTGCACTAGTCTAAAGTGACCACACGTCCTGATTTTGGCGGAACAGTCCCGCTTCCTGCGTCCCGCTGATTTTTAAAAATGTGTCGCTTTTTAGAAAAATCTGCATTTCCTATTTTAAATATACTGTAAAAATATATTGCATATTATTTATTATTATAGTAAATATAAAAAAATAAAAAGTACATAAATTTAAAAAACACATAAAATGCATGCAGAGTAAACCAAATTAGGCAATGTAACGAATTAGATTTACTCGGTGGTGTTCGATCATTGTTGTTACGTCTCGTCATGGAATATGTATTGTTAACGGAGGAACAGCTAGCATTAGCTGAACGGCTATTTGCTTTCCACACCATAAACCACAATCAAAGTTTCAGATCAATTGGTTGTACGTCACAAATGATCAAAACATTGTACAACAAAAAATTTGCACGTGCAAGGACAAAAACCGAAGCAATTATTTGTAATGTTTTTTTGCAATATTCGTTTTCACAATTGCTGAAATAATTAGATAAATGCATATTTATGTCCATATATTATGATGTTAAACCACAAAGATTTAAAATTATTTCCCACAATTGTTAGACTTTTGATCCAGAAACAGGAATTAAAATTAGAATATTAGATTTTGTTTTATTGTCGGGTGAATTTTTTTCTTTTTAACCAATGACAGATTGTGAACAATTAGTTTTGTAACAGAGTCCATTAATGTATACTAAGGGGATTCGAACCCAGGCCCTTCAGTATCGCAGTCAGGCTCTACTAACCACTATATTGTCTGGGTGGCTGCCGGATGAAACTTCATAAATACATTTTTGATTAAATAAGTACTATATTAAAAAAGAATAATTTGAACGATAAAATTATTATCTATTGTGAGGCAATAATTTTATTGTTGACACTAATGCAAATTTTGGTGGAAAAGCTAGAAGAGGCATCAATAACGTTTTTTACAGAACTTAACGAACGTTTGAACCAAGAAATTATTAGAGTAGGTTTATACAATACTATTCAAACAGCATTTGACTTACTTAGTGAATGCTGAAAATATTATTTCATAAAATTTAATTACATTTATATATATACTCTGCATTTCGAAAGTTTGAAGGATCTTTGCGAAAGCCCAGATGTCGAATATAAAAGAATTATTGGTTACAGCAAAACACGATGGCTAGCTCTTTTACCAGCTGTAGAAAATATTTTAAAATATATGAACCATTAAAATAATTTTTTATCACAAGATAAATATCCAAGAATATTGCAGCTGTTTTTAGAAAATGACATCACAAATTGGTCTTCTGTTCATCCACAACCAAACTACATTATTTCACAATGCTGTGAAAATTATTGAAGAGGACAAAATTTCAATTATGGAAGTGTCAAATGAAATCAATGATTTAAAAAAACAAAATTGCAAGAAAGAATTGGTAATGATTACATTCCTTTAGTTATTCAAAAGGACATCACTAGGTTGGAAGAACAATGTGCCATATTAAACGACCTGATTTTCTGAAAGAAGTCAGAAATTTTTATAATAACTGCTTGGAATATCTTGAAGAACGGACAGTTCAATTCGAGGATATTAAAAACTTTCCTTGGATGACGTTAAAAAAATTTTTATGGGAATATGTATAAAAATATTTTTAATATATTAGTAACTATTTTCCAAAAAATAATATTTGCGAAAATGGTCTTTTTGATGAGGGGTCATTGGTAAAAAGATACGTTACTGATACGGTTGTCTACAAATGTGGAAACAGACAAAAAAATGGGCGGAGTTATTCCTTCATTTTAAACAGAATAATATTCCTTATGAAAATATTTTGAAAATTGTAGAACACGCGCTCTTCCTTCCAGGAACAAATGCAGCAACAGAACTACTTTTTTCTAGTATCAATAAAATATCGACAATTAAAAAAAAAACACAGTTGAACATTAAAACTTTAAAATCTGTATTAAGCCTAAAATATAATTTGACCAATTCATGTGAGAAATTTCACAACATTTTAATAAATGATTCGAATGTATTGTAAAGTATTCACTCGGATAAAAATATAACCATGAAAGAAAATCATAATTTTTTAAAATAAAAAATATTAAATTATTTTAAAAACATAATATTCAAATTGTTTTTCAAATATTTTTATAGTTAATAATATATTTTTGTATATTTCTAGACAAGTATATGAATGTTTATAATAAAATATATTTTTTGAATTATTGGTCTGCTTTTATAACTAAATATAATTCTCATTTCATTCCATTTGTCCTGCTTTATCTCAATGAAAATGTGGTCACTTTATACTAGTCACAATATTGGGAATACAAACTTGACGAGTTTGAAGTTATTTTCAAGTATCACTCATATTTGTCTGTGTAATGCTTTTGAATATATAACATTTGAAAACAAATGAATGAACCTTTTATAGTAGTCCTGTATTTGTCTAATTATAATATTCAGTACTCATGGAAAATGCCATCGACCATTTTTGCATATGAAAGAAAACATGCCAAACTACGTGATTTTTTGCCAAAAATGGAAAAGTCTTCTTTAAACACGCTGGGTTTGGTGAAACCTTGATTACACGTGTTATTATTCTTGAGTAAAGACTCCTTTTTTTCTTCTATGGTGCATTTTTGAGGAAAAAAATGATTAAAATTTAGGACCTACCTACTACAGAGGAGCATGTTGTTGAATATTTCCAAAGTTATGGAATCTTACCGGCCTAAAAAAAATGTGTTAATGGCCACGAAATGGCACCCAGCGAAAATAATTCTTTTATCTCCTTAATAAAACATAATGGAAATTTTTAATGAAAAGTTAAATATAAATAAATGATAATATAATAAATTTGAAAGAAAAATAAGAATAGAATGTTTTTTATTGTATTTAGTAAATAGGTTTTTTTGGTTTGGCGTCACCTCTTGTGGTCGACAGGATTTTCTGTAAGTACCGAATATTCTTAGCTGAATTATTTTGTAAGTAGTTGTTAGTTACATGTATGTGGTACTTTATTAATGCTACTGCTAATGTTACAAATTAATGTTATTCATTTAATGACACTTCTGGCATTTTTCTGGACTTGAGAGTTATTTAACCATTTTTGCCTACTATTGTCCTTGTAATTTTTATATAGATTAACTCTTGAGTGCTGACATTATATTATCTTTAATGGTGAAACAGAGCTTTTAATATAAAATTTCCAGTTTTAAACACAGTGAATCTTTTACTCGTGTTTTATCTCAAACTGGGAGCTTTGGTTGTAACAAAGGGAAGTAATCTGATAAGTGTATTTCCTTTTCCCATGTAGTAGATACTGCCTAGCTATATTTTGGAATAATGGTTCAAATAATGATTAAAACAGCAAAAATAAATAAATTGCACAACTTCCATTTCATTTTTAAGTAAATCTTGGTGATGTATGAAGAAAATAAAAAAAATAAGTACATGGAAGAATTGAATACATCAGCTCATGCTTAAAAAAAGGTGCAGAAAGTTAAAAACTGCGGTTCAACTTGGAGGCAGACATTTGACACCAACTGAAGTTCTCAATTTGAGATAAAACACAAGTACCAAAGATTTTGCCAAATTAAATTTCTTATATATCAGTAGTTTGTTTATATTTGTTATTAAAAGCATTATCTTCATGGAAATGTCACAATATTACCAACGAAAAATTCTGATTGCCTCTTAGCTGAGTGATGATCAAGTTCAAAAACATTTCTAGACCTTCTCACACAGGTTAGTTGTTGAAGGCTTACTAGTATAAAACTTTCTTGCTTTTCTTATGTAACATTGATCACAAAAGGAAGTAGCCTTCAAGTGCTTTGTCATAAAATAACTAGTAACTAAATTTTAATTACATTATTAAATGACAAATTTTAACTTTATAAAAATAAGGTTTTTTTTTTATTTTTTTTTTTATTTGATATATTTATTTTAGTTGTAGTTTTGATTGTGAATGAATTTCTATTTAAAAAAAAAAATATTTGCTGAAAGTTGGGTAATTAAAATTTCTTTTTCAGTTCTGCTGTGGATAATGTAACTAAAGAAAAAGTAGCAATAAAGAAAATTTCACCTTTTGAGCATCAAACATATTGTCAAAGAACTTTGAGAGAAATAAAGATTCTCACAAGGTTTAAACATGAAAATGTATGTACTTTAAAACTATGTTTTCAGTTTAGTGCTACTTCTAATAATTATGTGAAAATATGAATTTATTTGCAGATTAAAGAAGAGAAAATAAGGGTTTTTAAGGCATCAGTTGCACTTGTATAATTCTGTATTCCAGATGGGTTAAGGATAACAAATAATTTTTTCATTGTGAGATGTAAATTTGAAAGTGCCATTGCGTCACCTATGTAGTCATAGTTTTTTTTTTTCTTTCTCTATCTAATTATCAGGTTTTCTACTAATCACTTCTAATTATCAGCTTTAAAAATTTCTGGCATTTTAAGAGTCAAAATTTTCAGCCAGTGGTTTTTTTTTTTTTTTTTTTTTTTTTTTTTTTTTTGACCACTTCATAAGGGCTAAATTTTTTCTTTGCAAACAAGTATTAAAGGATCTGTAAAGGTAAGGCAAGGTCAAGTGAAGTGAGTATGGAGAAGAGAAGTTTTTCCATCCAAGTTCCTTATTTTTTTTTGCCGAGTGATCCTTGCAGCTCCCGATTCCGTGCTACCATATTGCAAGGTAAATACCATTTCTGTTCATCACAATAGAATGTTTCATTGTGGTGGCAACTTTCAGTCAGTATAATTCACCACAACAAAAATCTGCAGTAATATCTTTCCCGATATCAAGTAGCTCAAATTGAACATCATGAATGTTTCGCCAAATACACATGACCATGTACATGTACCTTGAGCTGCCATAGATATCAGATTTTGAAATTTTATTAGTTCTGCAGCAGAAAACCATTGTTTTACTACTAGCATATCTTAAAGTCATTTCTCATCTCTCATTATAATACAATCAAAAAAGTTCTTTTTTATTGCTGCTGATGAGTAAGATGCATAAAAAATGGATTTTATTTTTATTATGGAGCATATGGGGTACCCATACATTGACTGTCATGCTGTAATTTCCCAACCAAAGTGTTATTTAACCTTTTGTATAAAAATTAATCCTTTCTAAAATTTTCCAGAAATTTAAAATTTCTGTGAGTTTTTTTACCATTATATTTTCTTTATCAAATTGATCTGAAAGACCATTTCATGGGACATCTTTCAGGCCAAAATTGCCATTATGAAATTGTTGAAATATCTTCAACACTTGCAAACGTTTAAACAATTACCTGTAAATCATACTGCTATTCACACTTGCAGTGGTTGTGTTCTGACTGTAATTAAATTAAAAGTGTATAGTGCCTAATATGAGTTTCTCCAAGTTTGATACTCATTTCTTAAAGGATATTGAATATTCTTGAAAAAGTCATGATTGAAAGCATAATGTGCATGGCTTTTGATAATCTAAACTGGAATGAACTTGATGGTAGAACAATCTTTAGAAATATGCCAAAAGCCTGTTGCCACAAACTGAAAATGTTTTACTTTGGCTGGCTTGCTAAATAGCTAATAACACATGGACTGTATTTCCTTCACTTTTATTTGATTACTCAAATTCTAAATATGAAATAAGCAATATGAGATAAGTAATGCAAAATAAGCGAGCCATTGGCTGTCACAAACATAAAAATTCTATCCACCGCTAGTTTTGTTGCCACATGCAAAAGTAGAAACAAAGAAACTTGCACACATTCTACCACATTAAATCATAGATCAACTTCTGGTAGGAGTAGACTGATGCTTGAGCCATCAAATAAACAAGTTAAGTCATTTTAGATTTTATACACTGCTGGTAATACTCACATGAACACCTGTGCTTGCAAAAATAGCATCATTTATTTGATATCTATAATATAGTTTAGAATTAGAAAATAATTTCAGAGATCTGATAAAAATTAAAGATCATCTGGAACTATTCCTGGTTGGATTCTTTTTTAAACCAATGTAATGGTTTATCAAGTTGTAAAAAAATAGGCATTTCCACTCTTGTGCTTTACAGTATACAAATGATTTGTAAGTTAGTTAATAATTTTTTGTCCCAAATGTTTTAGTAATAAGTTCTTAAAGAACCAGTTAAATTTTTACTAAACAATGTTGACTTTAATTCACAGATGTTTTACAACGACCTTTTTTCAGAGTTTTGTTTCCTTTTTTTTCCCCCCCCCCCAATTATAAAATGTCTCAGTTACTAAAACTGAATGAGTTTTCTTCTAATACAACTTCTTTCAAACTGTGGTCTGCAGACCACAGTTTTATGCGAATCAGAAAAGTAATGTTAGCGTAATGCTTTGAGAAGACTGTACATATTTTTATATGTTGTTATTTGCTGAGTTTCTGTGTAACTCATGTATCTAGTATTTTTAACTTTATCCATAACTAGGAGGTAATTTGAAACTATCACTGATATAAGTTTATCTCACTGCCTGTCTTAGCTGTACTGTATCGTACACAACTAGATATTTGGCTCCTGCCTTATGGTTGATGTCAAAAGCAACTTTGAAAATCTATGAACAGTTGTGTAAACATCTTGCATTTTATTGACATTGGTAACACTTTTGAGCATATTGAATCCAAGTTTCAATTCATTTGAGAAAGTAATCTTGTATTCCATTGTGTCGGCACACCTTTGTTTAAGATGCTCGTGCGGGATGGAAGGGAATCGAAGGCAGTCACAATGCATGACGGAGGTTTTGCACCACTAAGCATAATTTTATAAAAAAAAAATCAGCAAAAAAAAAAAGTTTCACTTCTAGCATTGTAATTTTTGGTATCATTTTAGATTATTACTTGAGCTCTTATGTATGTTAAAATTAGCACTTAATAACATTTTTTTTCTTTATTTTACATGAAAATATACTTAAAAAATTGCATATCTTGTAAAATAATTTTCGGAAGCTCTATTCAAATTATTCCAAAGGTTCAATTGATAAAATCCATCAGTAAAGTTTAAAATTAATAAAACAACACAGTAAAGATTATTTACACTAAGAAGTCACAAAATTTTAAATGAAGACTGTGGTAAATCTCGAAGCACTCGGAAGTTTCACTTTCTAACTCTTTAGAAAATGAATCATCACTCTCATCTGCGTTAGTAAATGGTTCATTAACCATAAGAGGGTATTCTTCTTCTCATAAATAGTGCCTTCCAGCCATAATTGACTGGAGGTGAGGCTTTCCAAAATAAAAAGAGAAGAAACAAATATATCTGAAGGCAATGCAAAACTTAACAGAACTCCACATAGTAACCCTAAAAGACCCTACGTAGCAGAGGGGAAAAAAATAGAATAAAAAAAAGGAATTGAATATAAATCATACACGAGAATGTTTATATTATAGTTGAATAAAATACTAAAGTCAGGTAGAATATATCACACTCAAGGTCAGGAACCTAAAACTGTGTTCTTTTCAAAAGTAATGGACATAGAATGCCATCTAGTGGCCTTCAGAAAAACGTTCCAGCTTAAAATGCATATACGCATCACCCGACCTCTAAATGCAATCTCTAGTGATGCGTGGATGGGTCGCCTGTGTTGAAAGGGTTAAATTGCTTTGGTCTGTTTTAATACTTTTCTCAACATATGGATTGATTCCATTCACTTTGCAGATACTTTGGTAGTGTCTACTATAGTACGTTCTATATAATTGGATCTGCAAATGAGCCTCGCTGGAATTCATCAATGAACATAATTTAACCCAATATGATAATCTGGTTTGCATCGGAAAGTTTTTAAAAGTACAGGGCTTTGAAGTTTATGTGAAACTCCTTGAAATAGGAGATTGGAAATTCTCTTTAAGCAAGACAGAATGGGAAACGATTAGTATTTTTTCCCCCTTAATGGACCGATAGATTTACCAGTAGTTGATCCATTTATAATGGATAGTAGTACAATAATTGTTTCTTATAAATGGCTAAAAAAAAAGTTTAGGTAGTTATTAGAGTAAATATTTCATATGACATAAGTTTATATTTACCCATAAATTTCTTTTGTGTATATAACTTTTTTGAATTATTGAGTAGCCTTTTTAATGTTTTGTCATAAAAATGTCTAAGTGAACTTTATTTGCATTAGGAAAAAGGTTGATTAATTCCTACCCCAGAAGTGAGCAACAGTTGCTAAGGGATTTTTTAAAAGTTCTTTTATTATTATTATTGTATGTATATTTATATTGAAGTAAATATTTCATTATATGGATGTTATGCCATACTAAAATTGAAATATTAATATTTGACTAAATTACCTGAAGTGATTATTATTTTTAATAAATAGTTAGAAAGGGAAGTTTTTAGTGCTGTTATTTACCGTATTTGACGGCATATAAGACGCACTTTTTTTCCTAAATTTGGTCTAAAAAAAGTTACCTGCACCTTATACCTGAAGGACACAGTCTTATATGTGAAGGTAATTGCATTCAATAATTGTTTATTTGGCTTTTACGAAACGTGAGAACTAAAAGAAACCACACTATTGAAACTTTTTTTCCTTGTGTGTGGCCGTCTAAATAAGGGTGCGTCTTATATGCCGTCAAATACAGTATATGACAAAATATACTAAATACTAAATATTTTATATGGAACAATTTTTGTACTTTGACAATTTAAATTTCATGAGTTAAAATTTTATTTTCATTGAAGAATTCATAAAGGATGTTTTCTGTAGTTAGTTGAAAAAAAATGTTTGTGTAGTTAGGAATTGAAACTAAATTATTTTATTATTACAAGTAAAATATTATAAGTTATATATTTCTTTTATAAAAAGAGAGACATGAAAAATTTGTTATCATGGAACAAATTACGGTACTTCATTATATAAAATATAGAAATGAGATAAAAATGTTTTAAATCAGCTGCTATGATAAATGATTTATGAACATGTAGCATTTCACATTTGCATTGTTGAAGGCATATGTTATAAGAAAAAGAATTTGTATCATTAACACATATAAATTAAGCTGCACGCTTTGTTTTAGAGGAGTTTCAAGAATGGTGAAATTCTGTAAGTTATTCATTGTAAATATGTATCCAGTTCTTTGGAAAATATTCGTGTATAAACAAAATAACTAGTTATTGGTACTTCCTTTTCTTAAAGCAGCCACCATGGCTAGTTGCCAAAATTGGCATACCTAATTGCCATATTTGAAATGTGTAACTTATTAGATTCTCAGACTCGATCACCAAAGGATTATATGTGGCTGCTATAATAATAAGGAAGTACCAGTTAATTTAATGTTTTCATTGTTATATTTTAATAATTTTTCTTTGTATTTATTTTGTTTTTATGCTTATAATAGCTTTCTAATGAAATTTATTTTGTACACTTTGCGATTTTATTTCTTCGTTTCATTTAATTTTAATGTTGTACTCTCAGAGTTGGGGGGTGAGACAAAGAAAGATAGGCAAAGATATTCATTGTGTGTAAAACTACTGCTGTACATAAAATACGAGTTTCCTTTTAGCATATGATGAAAAAGGATTTATGCATTACTTCGAAATATTTATCGGTTAAATTTTGTTTGGATTGTATTTTGCTAAATAATTAGATTGCTTTTAAATCTATTTTTTGCAGCTTCTTAATAACTGAGGTTTTAATTTTTTTCTAGATAATTGACATAAGAGATATATTAAGAGCTCCAACCATTGACCAAATGAAAGATGTGTATCCTTTAGTGATTTATTTTCAAGATAAATTGTAATAATATTTTGGTATAGTGTGCATGAAATTACAATTGTTGGAATCGTGAATAATAATATTATATTTAAATGTAATTATGTAGGATAGTGCAAAGGCTTTTAGGATAAAATAGTGTTATGAAATGTACAGGCGCGGTAAGATGGCTTCCCCGCAAAGCAGTTTTAGGGTTGCCACATTTGGCTGGAAATCGCCCATTTGGCGACAAAATTGGCAATATGCCATGGACGGATGAAGAACCTTCTGCAACGAATTCTTACCGGTTTATCCCAGAATGTTCTTGAACACAAGCCGAAAGCTATATAAACCGTGCTGGTCCGCAGTCAGGGAGAGTGCCTCGTCAAGTGCAAGTTGGTGTGTCTCATCTAGTTAGTCCGTGTGGAGACGATTGAGTTGACAGCCGGCCAGCGAGTGCCAAGTGGGTCGTCGAGTTCACCGAAGGAGTCTCTTAGTGTATCGTGGTTAGTGCATTGTCGAGAGAGCGTGTTGAGCTCAGAGAATGGCTGAACCGAAGAGTCAGGAGCCGTGCTCTGTGTGGCGTCAAGTGCATCGCTAGTTGTAGTGTGCAGAATCTTGAGAGTACGTGGAGTTCCGAGAACGACCAAGCAGAGGTGGGAGCTGTACTCTGGTGCTTTGCAGTGAAGCTGTCTCCACAGTGATAGCCTGATAACCTGAAGGCTGTGTCACTGATCGTGTCAGCGTGTTTATAGGAGTTCATCGACAACTGTAAAGCGTGTTTTGGATCTGTTCTGACAATACTGGCCAATAAAGTCTGTTTCGATACTTCATCAAGTAGTATTGTCATTATTCACTCCAAATGCTCACGAACCCTCTACGAACGTGAAGGAAGAAAATAACGTAACAACTGGTGTCAGAAAAGAAAAACGCAAGAATATTATACTTGCGTATTATCCCATGTACCATGGATGTTGGCTACCATCGAACCAAGAAAACTGCTAGAGATCCTGCCAAAGTTGCACCAGTTGTTTCAGAATTCTGAAGGAACTGATGCCTCTTTATTTAATATTTGACTCTTTTCATTTTTGCATTCCTTAAAAGGTTTTTGTCAATTTCTACTATTTTGTTAATCCCTTTGATTTTACTGAAAGTTCCATTTAGAATGCTATGAGTGCAAAGTTTCTACGGATGATTGTTCCAGTCTATGACGATTTTGTTGGCCATATTCAATATGTTCATTAATACATACCTTTTTTTAACCCTTTGACGTGTGGTGGTCGCGCCTTGAAACCACCAATTTTCGAATTTTTTTCGCCTCTTCCTTCCAAAATTTTTGAGTGAAAATCAATTGATTATTGATCTTTTACCTCTAAATAGCACAAAAGGACTAAAGAATCATATATGTTTTAGGTCATAGTACTTCAAATCGGATGCCTTTTAAAATTCGTTTTCAATGAGACAAAATAACTTTCTTTTATTAACATAAACAAATTTAAATTTCAAAATTTATTTATCGCACATCATGATTTCTATCATAAACAATAAAAAATAGCAATAATTAAACTGCATATATAAAAAAACCTTCTATATGTATGGCGTTTGCTTTGTGGTTTCAGGGTGCGACCACTGCCCCACTGGAGCATTGTGACACAATGCTCTAGAGCAAGGATGTCAAACTCGCGGCCCACTACAAATATTTTTGCGGCCTGGCCAATATATCAGCAAATAATAATATATAATAATAAAAAAACATATCGACAAAGAAAAAAATGAAATGTTTACTGTTAAGTAATTAACGATAATTTATTCAGTGTTGTTAGATTACTCACAGCGAGCTGACACACACACTACTTAAATTACAAATGCGTGTGAGAAACTTGCGTTCAGCTACCTTCGGCTTTTAGGGGACACGTGCACTCAGAACTTGTACGCATCCCCCGATAGCCGAATGTGGCCGAACTCATGGTCTCAGTTTTCCAATCATAATTTTATACGATGTATTGGTGCATGCACTTTGCTTTATTATTAATTATTACTTAATTCATATTGTTATGGGTTTCATAGTTATTTATTTATTTAGTTTTTTTTTATTTAGAATTGTAATTAGATTTGCTTCATGTTGCCTTAGCAACGCAGGCGATTTTTGAAAAGACAGCCGCATTGGAAGGTTAAAAATAGAACAGTGCGTTCATTTAATACCTAATAAATAAATATCTCGTAATTGCTGTTGCCATCCCCAAAAATCCAGATATTTATAGATGTTTCCAGTATATTCGAGAAATTAATTATAAAGCTTATAAAAGCCGAGAACAAACAACTCGTCTCAGTAGTAGCTGTAGTTCTAGCGAACTGTTTGTTTACTTAATGCTGTGATTGATTTGTAGCGATTTCGCTGTGAGATAGAATTAGTTTGTGTTTTGAATTGATTTTTGCTAAACATTTGACATTTTGTGATATTGTTAGAATATTTTTGAAGAAATATTTCAGCATTTTGATTTATCTCTTGTAGAAAGAATAAATTTTTGTTAACATTTTAACGTTAACCGTGTTTATTCCAGCCCTTTGTATTCAGTATGTCTATATCAAAACCAAGTGGTAGTAAAATTAAACGAAAAATCGCTGACGAACATAGAATACTCCAAGTAAAATGGGAATTAGAATATTTTGCTGTGAAATAAAAGATAAAATAATCTGCTTGATATGTAATAATACTATTAATGTATCAAAGTTATATAATATTAAACGTCATTACGAACAACACAAATCGAAATATAACAATTACGAAGGATTAATGAGAGAAGAAAAGTTGAAAGAGCTCAAGTTAGGAGTGAAAAAGCAACAGTCCATGTTTAGTAAAGTATTGCAAGAAAGTGAAGCGGCGGTACATGCAAGCTACGTCTTGTCCGAGTTGATAGCTAAACATTCGAAGCCTTTTACTCACGGTGATTTCATCAAGGAATGCCTAATGAAAGCTGGAGAAATTATTTGTCCTGGAAATGTGAAGGCTTTTCAATCAATTTCATTGCCTCGAAATATAGTTGCAGAAAGAGTTACTGATTTAGCCGCGAATTTAAGTGATCAGATCAAAGCAAAATCATCTAGTTTCGAAAGTTTCTCCATTGCCTGTGACGAGAGCACGGACATTAATGGCAAAGCTCAATTAGCAGTGTTTCTTCGTTCTTGTGACAAGAATTTTAACATTTTTGAGGAATTACTGGAACTAATACCTATGCCTGGTACTACCACAGGAGAAGATATATTTACTTGTGTTTTTGGACTTCTGCAGAAATACAATCTACCTTTGGCAAAATTAAATTCTGTAGCTACAGATGGCGCTCCATCAATGACCGGGAAAAACAAGGGCTTCGTAGCATTACTAAGAAAAAAACTTAGTGAAATTCACGGTTCAAACATTCATCATATGCATTGTATTATACATCAAGAAGTTCTATGCACGAAAGTAATAAATATGGAGAATGTTTTGTCATATATAAAAAAAGTTATAAATTTTATAAGATCTCGAGGTTTAAATCAGCGTCAATTCACTGCTTTCTTAAGTGAGTTAGATAGTGAATATTCGGGTTTGTCCTACTATACCGAGGTACATTGGTTATCTTGCTCCAAGATTCTCAAACAATTCTAGGATTTGAAAGAAGAAATATGTCAGTTTTTAAAAACAAAAAATCAAGACGTAAGTTTGTTTTACGATCCAATATGGATACAAGATTTATCTTTTTTGGTTGATATAACCAAACACTTAACCGATTTAAATTTATCGTTACAAGGAAAAGATCATATCATTACGAACATGTTTGACATAATTAAAGCATTCAAATGTCAACTAGTTCTTTGGGAAAAACAACTTAAAAATGAAGATTTGACGCACTTCCCGACGTGCAGCATGAACAAATCAAGTTTAGATGATACTTGTTCGTATCAAAAATACGCAGAAAAAATTGCAAATTTAACAACTGAATTTGAAACGAGGTTTAATGATTTTAGTTTCCTCGAAGACAAATTTTTTTTGTTTTCTTTGATTTTCTCAATAAGTATTGACTCAGTACCCAGCCATATGCAAATGGAGGTGATCGAGATTCAATGCAACTCAAATTTGAAAGCAAAATTCATTGAAGTGGGCGTGCCTGAATTTTACAAATACTTATCAGCCAGGTTTGAAAATACTCGAAAATTCGCATATGAAAGTATTTCCATGTTTGGTAGCACTTATCGGTGCGAGCAGTTATTTTCAGTCACGAAAGATAATAAGTCTCCTATTAGAAACCGTATTAATGATGCTCACCTTGGGTCAGCGTTGAAAGTTATCACTGCAAACAAAATTTCTCCCAAATTAGGAAAGATAATAGCAGAGAAGAGATGTAAAGTATCAGGACGTAAACGTTAAATTTTTCTTGTTCTTTTCTATATAAATATATATATATATGTAGATTTATTTCGAATAATACAATAATAAACGTTTCTATGATTTTTTTTTTTTTTTTTTTTTTTTTTTTTTTTTTTTTTTGCGGTCCGCCTAAAGTTAAACCTTGTTTGTTTGGCCCAAGTGTACCTATAAGTTTGACATCCCTGCTCTAGAGGCTTGGTGGTCGCACCTTGAAACCACTCCTCTTCACAATGGCGTTTGCTTGCTTCTCAAATAGGAATGTGTATTTTTACCTGGATATAGAAAAGGGATTTGGAAATCAGAGTTATTTTATTACTAAACAATAGATGCACCTGCCCAGTAAAAAGGTCTTTCTTTTCCAGAGACTTTTCTCTGACCTCAACACACTTGCTCCCCAAGCTAGTATTGTGATTTTATAAATATTTCCTGTGGTTTAAATTTAATATAAATATATTTTGCTGTAATTAAAAATAGAAATCGCATAAAGTTTTATTTAAATTAAAAATATTTTCTGAATATTTTGAGACTAAATACGAATAAAATAAATATGAATGGGAAACGAATGATCCGTACCAAAGCCAAAAAGACCAAGCCCCCTCCCCCTATT